CTGCACTACGTACCTAGGTATATAAGGCAGCGCAATGGACAATAGCGAGAGCATTCCATATTATCATATTCAATAAGTATGATCTTTTTATGAATATTACTGCCATGCCTGCTATCTTAAAATAATATGTGAATAGAAGATTAAAATGTGGAAAATAGGGTATCCAGATCTCTGATCTGGATGCCCTATTTTCCAACTACTGGTATGTAACACAAAGCGCCTGAACTTTGTAAATGTTAGGTTCACAGATAAACTTAGACTCATTACAGCCTGTCTTTGTATTAATTCTATTTCGTGTAGCTATCAATAGGTGTTCCAATTGCTAAACAGAGCAGATATCAATGAAATAGACTTATCTTTGTGATAAATGAAAATTGTTAATGAGTGGGAGTTGATAACTGAAATACACTAATTAAGCTGCCCTTTATACTTAGACCAGCTGTCCATAATGCATCATTTGACGAATGCATGCGATCTACAAATGACGATAGACGGATTTGAACGAGTGAAGCAACGTTGTCGCTCTGTGTTCTTTATCACCTCCTTTGGTTGTTTCTAAGCAAGATTCAAGCAAGTGTCTTTTTAAAAATCTTTATTTAATAAAAAGGGCTTTTTTTGTTAGAGGAAACTGTCAGCCCTATTATAGGATACAAAATGCACGTAAGCGTGCGCCTGAACTTTACAGTTCCTTATCAGTTTTTTTTTTAACACCAATAGCTTATCTTTGGATACATAGTCTGTCTTACTGCTGGACTATGAGGCGTCTCTACATGAAACAGTTCGCCCTAATCTCCACTTAGCAGATCATGTTAAAACCTTCAAGATTGCTGAAGACCGCTGTTACCTGATTGCTGGTCATCTATTAACCTGTCGGAACGTAGATCTACGCGAGACACAATGCATTTTCTATTTTATATACCGGCAGTCAAGAGGTTAAAGGATTTAAGGGTATAGTTGCTTAGTCAGCTCCTACACCTGCGAGCTGCTCGAAAACTGGGGTGGTAACAAATATACTCTTCTACAACTACTCAGTACACAATAACCTAACCTAACGAATAAAAGTGTTTCTGTAGGAAAAGTTAACAACATTTTTTACTT